CACTCCCCTTTACAGTATCAGTAATTCAGTACGAATAAGGTACCCAGGCACCTTGAACACCGAACACTCGGGTAACTTGCCCACTGTAACTACCTACTGTAGATCTGGCTAGAAATCGGGCCCGAGGGATGCCCAGCTGGGCATAACAGGGCAACCGGATGTTTCTGGCTGCAGACGATGTCCATTATGGATATACTACTATAAAGAATCGAGGCGAAGGCGGCAGAGGGGAAATATGTCTACATAAATACATAATGAGCGTGCCAGGCTTCAGTTGAGATACCACTGAAATACTCCGCACTTCGTACTTTGTGAATTAAAACGCAGTTAAGGCCTACCATCCAACCACCCCGAGCCACAAAATAAAGTTCAGGGGTTAATTTCAACAAAGTCCTGACTTGAGCGTTACCTTCAAGACTGGGCCTTTGGTCTAGCTTTAGCACTCCACAAATGCTTCTTGATGTTCTAATCACACAAGTGTCCTTCACTAGGCGACTTGAGGTCGTTGCTATACAGTTAGGCCCGGCTTGTTCGAGTTACTGGGGCGCTGGCTTCCTTTACTGCGGCCAATTGGCAGGCACGAATAAGCCATGCATGACAATCTACAGTACTGTGTATCAGAATCTACATTTACATTTAACTTCAGTAACTATGAAACCATAACAGTATATTTTTAGTAACTTACACCAGTCCGCATTGATACAAAGAGGTGGCTGCTAATCGGATGGCATTTTCACCATACGGACTGCATCCTATACCGGATTCTGTTTCTGCTGTACCAGCAGCACTCTGATTAGTAGCTGATCCTGGATTTTGACTTCTAATCGATCAGAGCGAGTTTACAGTATTTGTATAGTATTCGATTAGAAAATCTCCTTCCCGGCTATTTGAGTATAATAATTTACTACTTTGCTCTTACCAGGGGATTTGGAGTGTATGAAAGTTATTAGAGTAGTAAAATTTATTGGAGATTTGTATGACTTGATTTTCGATCTACTTTGTGCTTATGGTGGTCAAGAATACAATCATGTCGAATTAGATCTAATATGCAGTTTGTATGGTGTAAAATCGTCATCTGTTTAGCAGTTGCCTAGATAGAGCGATAGCTTTTTCGGTTGCTCTCCGAAATTACGTTACGTGTATGGGAGGTACCGCATACTACTGTGTTTTTCTGCAAGCCGAACTAGCTTGGTACAAAATAACTACTAATTACATCATAGTACTGTAGCGAGTGGAATCATGTGACGAGATTTAGGGCCAGCGCATAGCGTAGTGTGGAAGATATGCCGAGTAACAAGGCAGGTACTACCTAAGGTATTAGATACAAATGCTAGTATGTATATATCAAATCAATGAAAGATTTACCCCGCGAAACTTCTATTTTATCTTACCAGCTGCACGTACATATTGAATGAAAATGTCTGATACAACCAATACATTCTGGTCCCCGTCAGGCGCAATAACCAGCGGGTATTACTTGGAATTACATAAAATTTACGTTTACGTTCAGCGGTGAAGCCTTCAGTTTGCTCATACCAAATTTCGTCCAGCCAGCTTGGACCTGACCAGTGTCACAATATTGTACAGAAGCACCTGTTCGTGTAAACTGCCCTAGCAGTTGTCAAGGGATGACCTCTTCACACTCAGGTCATGCTCTCAGGCTGGATGCCAATGCCAGCACATCTCAAGATCCATCAGAAAATGGTGTTCATCTACAAACTAACAACAATGTCGACGGCCCATCGCTTGTTCCTGGTGACGAAAGGATAGAAGTGGTTGAGCCGAACAACTGCGACGTTGATTCAACAGAAACAGATTCCGGAAGCATTCTTCCAAGGGATATACAATTGAAGACACCCACCTACGATTATGCCTTCGAAAAGTCAATGAGCCACGCTGAAGCAAAGCTCTTTTACCAGCATCACCAGATCGCATCTCGGAACCTTGATGGGGATCATCACAACGAAGCATCGGCTATGGCAACTTTAGTAGGCGACTCTGATCCTAGAGACATGGCAGGGTCACCTCCAGCTATTAAAGTTACTGGTGTTTCTTCGGACAACAAACCAGAAATGACTTTCCCAGCTGGGAAAAATACCACTGACTTTTCTGCTTCGCAACAACATCCCGAGCCACATGAAGTGCATGTCATAAGCCCCCAAAAGGAAGAAACATCCTTGTCACGTTCGCATAATGTGGAGAATACTAGCGACTCCTTGGGGCCAGTTCAGGGTATGATGAACATCTCAGCAGATAGCAGCGCGGTCACTTCTGAGTTGAATGTTATATGTCGCAAGATGAAAAACTTACTCGACCGCCGGGCGAAATATATACAGTTGTCTCTGCAGGGGCCTGAGGATAACCCGAAAGATCATCCCGACTGGGAGATATACCCTCCTCCCCCGGAACCAGCATGGGATAACGAGGGGGACATTGGTAGAAGTGCCGATAGCTCCCGTATCGATCAAAAAAGACGGAAAATGGGGCAAGACGTTGGAGAAGATTTTGACATGGCCCATTGCTTGCCGCTTCCTACCGAGTCCCGCTGGGTATACAGACTGGATGAAAATAGTGTATATCAAGTCTATGAAAACGATGCAGCGGCTGATTTACGACAGCCTGTGGTCAATATCCCATCCCTGCGGGATTTCTATATGGACCTTGATGCGGTAACGGACGTGTCAACAGACGGCCCAGCTAAAAGCTTTGCGTTCAAGCGGCTTTCCTACTTGGAAGGGAAGTTTCAGCTCTATGCTCTCCTAAACGAATACCAAGAGATCGCCGACAGCAAGAAAGTACCTCATAGAGATTTTTACAATGTCCGAAAAGTCGACACACATGTTCATCACTCTGCGTGTATGAATCAGAAACACCTTCTTCGTTTCATCAAGAGCAAGATGAAGAAATCCCCGGACGAAGTAGTATTGTTTCGAGACGGCAAGCATCTGACGCTGAGAGAAGTCTTTGAGAGTATTAATTTGACGGCTTATGACTTGAGTATTGATACGCTTGATATGCATGTATGTCTCAAAGTATTACCCTTGACCGTTTAGCTACTAAGTGTGGTATAGGCACATACCGATTCTTTTCACCGTTTTGACAAGTTTAACCTCAAGTACAACCCTGTGGGTGAATCAAGGCTGCGTGAAATATTCCTGAAAACAGATAATTTCATCAAGGGACGCTATCTGGCCGAGATAACCAAGGAAGTAATCTCTGACTTGGAATCAAGCAAATACCAAATGGTGGAATGGCGCATCTCCATATATGGACGATCCATTCAGGAGTGGGACAAGCTTGCAGCCTGGGTTGTTGACAATAAGCTCTTTTCTCCTAATGTCCGTTGGCTGATCCAGGTACCTCGGCTGTATGATGTGTACAAATCGAGCGGCATGATGGAGAATTTCGAGCAGGTGATCACAAACGTTTTCCAGCCATTGTTCGAAGTGACAAAGGATCCAAATAGCCACCCTAAGCTCCATATTTTTTTGCAACGAGTGGTTGGGTTTGACAGTGTTGACGACGAGAGCAAAGCAGAGCGGCGACTATACAGGAAATATCCAATTCCAAGGGAATGGAATACGAAGCAAAACCCTCCGTATAGCTATTGGTTATATTTCATGTTTGCCAACATCGCATCTCTCAATACCTGGCGCAAGCAACGCGGTTTTAACACATTTGTCTTGAGGCCACACTGTGGCGAGGCTGGGGATCCCGATCATCTTGCAGTGGGATTTCTGTGCTGCCATAGTATCAGTCATGGAATCCTTCTGAGGAAGGTTCCCCTGCTGCAGTACCTATATTATCTCGACCAAATAGGCATTGCTATGTCACCCCTCAGTAACAACGCGCTGTTTCTAACCTATGACAAGAACCCCTGTGCGAACTTTTTCAAGAGAGGCCTCAACGTTTCCTTGTCTACTGACGATCCCTTGCAGTTTGCTTTCACCAAGGAGCCCCTTATCGAGGAATATTCAGTCGCTGCGCAGATCTACAAGTTTAGTGCGGTAGATATGTGTGAGCTTGCAAAGCATTCAGTCGAACAAAGTGGATTTGAAGTATCTCTGAAGAAGAGATGGCTAGGCAACAATTGCTGCCTACAGGGTGTCGCAGGAAACAATGTTGCCAAAAGCAATGTTCCTGACATTCGTGAACAGTTTAGGCATGAAACTTTGATCGGGGAATTGACACTGTAGGTTTCAATCCTTTGGCATACGTGGAGTGATACCGTGCTATTTATTACAAAAGGAGGATATTGGCTAACTGTAGGTTCCTTAGGATCGAGCGACATGCAAACATGGGGGACGATACAACAGCTCGGTTGAGAGGTTCCAATGTTACCACTATCAATCACTGGGGATCTTCGGGGCCACTGCTTCCTCAGGTACGAGGTGATCCGGGTTCAGGTATGCTTTTACATATCTAGGTACCGAGTGATCTAGTGCTTATGCTGTCATAGTTTCATTGGATTATACCGATGACTCTTCAACTTCTCAGTACCAAAGAGCAGGTGTACGAGATGACTGCATAGACCCGCAGGCCGCGAGCCCAAATGTCAGAAAAAGTGCATCCGTTGGCGGCTTACCAGCACAAGATCCTGAAAAAACAAGTCCCACTGCTCCTGGGGAGTTCAGCACATCTTCTAGCAGCAGTGCTAGTGCTGCCAAATCTACGCTCAACACGGACCCTATACCAGAACAAAAGATCTTCCCAGGCATTGTTCATGAAAGAGCTCACAGGAGTAACATACCAATTGATGGCATAACTACGGAGGACGGAGAGGAATGATTACTACATACGTTCAACATGGGCAGCAGGTTTGAGGTAGTATTAGTCTGGATAGAACCAATGCGATTGATGTGTCAGCCGTGGTTTCATCGCTTAGGACCCTGCAAAAGAAGACAACAATACCACCCATGAATATGAGACATACCTAGATCTTGTATCCTGAGTCTTCACATATGATTCAGGACAGTTCCTTCTTTCATAATAGAGCTGTATCAGATGGCCCAGCTACCCTTTCGTTCACACACCCCCCATGCTCCATGAATACCGTCGTCAGCCACTTTGGGCCGTTTCCTAGCCCACTCTTGTATATATAAGCGCAGTGCCATCCATCGCATACATGGGCCCTTCTCTGCCTTCCGATCCGTTGGACCTTCATCCATGACGCTGACGTAACCCTTCGCATCTGTCTTGAGATCATCACGTCTAAGATCTGCTACAGAAATTCCAGAAACGATACTGAGCTCATGGTCGTAGTAGCGAGCAACACAGGGATAGCCCAGGGACAAATAATTGTAGATCTGAGTCACAAAGCTATCAGTCAACTCATGATCAAGGTCCTGGTCGCTAGCATGTTGTCTCGTGTGCCTCGAGTCCAAACTTTCGGTATCCCTTGAGAAATCCAATGACGACCGGTTCTCATAACCTGTGAGGGTTTCGGTTGAGCATTGAGCATATCCACCGGCATTGCCGCTTGACCGTGGGCTCGATGACTTCGAAACGTCCAACCGCGAAAGGCGCTTGTTGGATTTACAAGTTCCCATCCAAAGGCCGCCACCATCAGAATCATCGAAAAGGTGGCGGTCTGCATACCAAAGCCCAGCATTGTGATATTGTTTGTCTTGCGTGACGTAATGTTCAACATTGCTGCTCTCACATATTGTCGCTTCGGGTGAAACACTTTGCGGAAATACAAGATCTTCTCCAAGCATGGGCGGGCTTATGCCTGGCTTGATTTGTGTCAAACCAAACCCACCGGCCCAGTTTCCGCAAGACCCGCTCACTCCGTCAAAAGGTCGCCTATCAGTAGGCGACAAATGCAGTCCTTTTGTTCCAGCCATAGCACGATCACACATCTCGGCCTCCTCCTTATGCCTGCGCAAGTACTCGAGTTCCCATGGCAGATCTGCGGACGAGGCCCTTCGATGGATGCCTGATGTGAAAATGTTTGTACGGACTTGCAACTTTTCATCCTTCGAAGAGTCATCATCCTCTCTATCAACTGCGAAATGATCCACGGGCTGATAGACTTGTTCGTTAGGGAAAGCCGCGAGGGCCTGCTCCTTTAGTTGATTTTCTGCAGAATGGGCCGCTAGAGCTACCACATACTCCGATAATTGATTTGCATGACGCTCATTTAAATGAGTCTTCTGTCTCATAGAAGGTCCAGGATGAGTAGTAGATAATGATGGTGGCCCTGGAGAAACTTCTGAATCATCAGAATCCTCACTACAACTCGATGGGATTGCAGGAAGATCAGGTATTCGGAAAGAATGTCTTCTGGTTTCCTGGCGTCGTTGCAAATTTGCATATGAAAAAGAAGACTCTTCTATGCCGGTGACATCATCGGCGAATTGGTCCCTAATACTTTCGAGGTTTGGAATTCGAGGCAATGCTTCTGGTATGCTTTCATTGTGATGAATATGCCTCATCTGGTGTCGCCGAAACGATCGTTTGCCAGTCTCCACGAGTTGTGGTGTGAATTTCCTCGGAAACAGGAGCACGGAGTTTCTCGGACCTACAGAGCGTGGTTCTTTCTTGAATTGCTTGTCTTCCCGGGCCACCCTAGTTGGCACAGTTAAGCTAACGGCTTCGTTGACCGCTGGCCCTGAACCTATATCATTCGTTCCAGAACTATCGCGGACAGGCTGCGGAGACCTTTCTGTTACAATTTGACGCGAGCTATTCTTAGGTTTAGGTGACTGTTCGTTGGAGCCTCGTGAGCCCTTCTGTGTCGACGGGCTGGTTTCTCGGAAGGTAGCCTTAGGGTCCCTAGAACTGCGGGAAGAGGTTTCGACAGGTTCGGGCAGGAAACGCCTGACCCTTTTATCTGATGTGAGACCTCGATGAGACATCGCTTCGTCTTCGCTAAGGACGAAGATCACAGAGGCCCCTTTGTTCCCTTCGGCCTTTGGCTTCTTCCAAACCCGGCACCCAAGTAAATACAGTGCCTCATTCCAAGGTCACTCACTATGTTAGCAGCACTTTCATGTGATAAATTCAGCATTCCTATGCCTCATATGTGATAACCACATATAGTGGGTGCGGAAGTCCGAAGTCTTGTATCTGGGCGTTGTTTCACTGCAACAGAGGTGCTTTAGCCACTCAACCCCACCTGGTGTGGTTGAAAGGTAGCTTGCATAGATATCATGTGACAATAGTACTTACATGGGTTACCTGTCTTGTCACATGACATTCATTGATGAAGTGTACGGTCGTTGCCCCACAATATATGCCTAATCATCCCACCTTCCTAACTAAGCTTAGACGATTTTACCTACCAAAACAATGCATATGAAGCCCCTGATTGTAAAATATTACAGAAGTTAGTTAGATTACGGTATTAAGATTTTATTACGCTACAATGTAGTATCTTTATATAGGCACCTATGTAGTACTATGGTTGACCCGGTAATTTTGTTAGTATGGTGGAGAGGTGCAGGGGGTTGAATCCTTCCAGCGGTGAGTCTCCTAACTAATACTGCTTGCCTAATATAGTTAGCCCCTGTTGGAATTAAAGCTTATAAACATGAAAATAATGATGTATTTTACTGATTCCTAGTATTTTAAAGATTAAAGATATCTTTTACACCTGAACCTACCTCTCTGAAAATAAATTTAAAATATCTATCTTATAATGATTATATCTGTATTCTTACTCTTTATAATATAAATTTTACTTATTAACAAATAGTAATCAGTTATAGATTAATTATTACTAAGTTTAATATATATATCAAAATCAACAAGTTATATCTTATAAAATAAAAGATAATATATTAAAGCTCTCAGATAAAGAAGTTATCTATATTATATAATAAATATTAAGTTTAAAGTGTATGTGTCGGCTGCTATATTATTATATTATTAAAAAGTTTAATCTTTCTGTTAAAGTATCAGTCTTGATATATTTCTTAAAAAAAATAAGATTATATATATTATAAAATACTTTAAAAACTACTTCTTTTGCTAGTTAATAAATAAGTAAAATTAACCTGGGCTTTTAAACACCTATATTAAATATAGAATTAATAGAATTAAATATTCTAGACTAATAAAATCTAGATAACCTCAGGCTTTTATAAATAGATATATATAATTTATAAGTCTGGTAAAGAATTTAATAAAACTTATCTTTATATAAATTTATTATATAAGTATAGTTAGATGTTTTAAATTTCTTTTTATAATAATTTTAAAAGACCATGCCTCTTTTGGAAGAAAGAATAAAAAAATATTAATATTAAAAATTATACTAAATATATTTTTCTATTTTTAATAATTTTATATATTTGATTGAGTGCAACAGATAATAATTTTAATTAATATAAAATAATATTTTTAATCATATAAGTAGGACTACTATATAAGAGTTTAATAAGTATAAGATTTTTTAATTACTTAGCTAGTATTTTTACCAGATCTTAATTTATTTGAAACTGTTTGAAACTGGATTAGAAATTAAACTAAATAATATTATCTTGAGAATAAGCAGTTGTTATATAAATTAATTATATAAGATTATATAAGCTATGTAGAATATTTTACTAGAGATATTCTTAAATAATTTAATTGATAGTATACCTGCAAGGTATCAGATAGTAATCAATACAGAAGATAACCATATAAAGTATTAATAATTATATAAACAGCATTATTAGAAGGATTCAACCCCCTGCACCTCTCCACCATACTAACAAAATTACCGGGGTCAACCATAGTAAGACCTCATGATAAAAGGCTTTGTACGCGTTGTTGGCGCAGGAATCTGATTTTTGAAATTATGCCGCAACGCAGGCCCCTACAAGCTACAAAATTTGATAAACTTCTTCTGAATGCAGCCGTTATCATTTGATACTAATTTTATTTGGTCATCTCATTAATTGCGACTATGGTGTTAACGATTACAGAATAATCTTCTCAAATAACTTCTAGAAGGAAATCTGAACATCTCTAGGAACACGCTCTACACCTCAAATATTATGGTGATATAATACTTAAAACACCTCAAAGAAAGCAAGGACTTTTAGATACTCTAGGCCAACTGTTAATCATTTCAAGCACATACAAAAATTATCGGTCAGGGAGGTGTGGAAGCTGTTCAAACAGTCATATTCAGTGCTATATAACAAGAATTTCTAATATAAGAAAAAAAGAAAGCAACTCAAAGAAGAATATATAATTATATAAAAATAAATAAATAATATAATATAAATAAATAAAATAAATAGAACAGAAATTATATAATCCTAGAATGTTATATATTATTATATTATTTTTCTATTTAAATCTAGCTATCTTCAGTCAGCAGTAAATTATTTTTCATGATTTAAAATAAATATATTAGTATCTGCAGCTGCTAGTTATTATAAAAAATATTCAAAAAATTTAAAATAAATAAAATATTTTATATAATAATTTTAAAATCAGAAAAAAAATATTCTTAAATTTTTTTTATTAAATATTAAATATAATTCATTATATTAAGTACCAGCTACTTGACTTTATACTAAAAATAGTTATATTATAAATAATTTATTAAAATATCTTTAATCTTTTTTTATTTGATTATTAGTCTTGATAAGTATAATAACATTTTAAATTTAATATAATAATGCTATGGGACAAGTCCCTACTAGAGGACTCAGCTACCTAGCCTTGTAGCCGCCTGCTGATTAACTAATATATATAAAATTTTAAATACTTTAAGATTCCTGTTTAGATACCAGTTATTTCTTCTTATTTAACAAGTGATGTATTCTTAGAATCAAGAAATGATTCTTAATATTAAAAAAAGCTTTTCTAGATAACCTACAGAACAGAGTCCAACTGTATAATTAATAAAATAAAATAAAATAAAATAAAATAAAATAAAATAAAATAAAATAAAATAAAATAAAATAAAATAAAATAAAATAAAATAAAATAAAATAA